GCTGACTCTGTAAACCGCTTAGAGAGGCCTGAAAGGCCTATGAAGCGGTATATAAGTCTAACTGCTATTGCTATTTCCGGAAGTTGTTAACTCGACACCTGGAGGTTTCAGGGAAAGTCAACGCAAAACTGTACAAGCCGTCATCCTTTTTTTTTGCAATTTCACACCCAGAGTTTGCTTCCGGAAGCAACCAACATCTACGGAAGGAAATTCACTTGGTCTGTGCAGCAAAACGTTATAAGAGCCCTCAATGGACAGCCGGGTCATTCTCACCTATGTTTGAAGTGTAATCAGTGGCTCCAAAAATGAGCTCAGGCGCACGGTAATAGCGAGAACAGATGTAGGAAACATTGGGTTCACCTCGCACCAGCTGCTTTGCACTGAAAAAGAGGAGGGAACAGTAGATGGGGATCTCCAGAGAACGAGAATGCTATTGAAATGAGGGCCCAGAGGCCCCCTTATGACCCCGTCCTCGAGACCCCCAACATTTGTTGACTGTGTTTATTTTCTAACAATAAATGAAAATAGTTCAATGCACAATTTAAGAACAATACTCTAAATTGTAATAAATCTACCATAAAGTTCTATCTCAGAGGTCTTCAAACTTGGCAACTTTAAGACTTGTGGACTTCAACTCCCAGAATTCTCCAGCTGGAGAATTCTGGGAGTTGAAGTCCACAAGTCTTAAAGTGGCCACGTTTGGGGACCCCTGTTCTATCTAAACAAAATAAATACAAGGATGGGTTTTGTCCTGGCTCCAACCCAGTTTTGGGGGCTGTCGTTTACCCCTCTGCCCATCGTTCAGAAGCCAGAGAGAGATCTGAACCCAGAAAAGCATACCTGCTCCCCCGTTTAACAGAACAGCAAGATTGGAAGGGACTTGGGAGGACTTCTAGTCCAGCCCCCTGCTCCTAAGAACAAGCTGACTTTGATGATTGTGTTTGAGAATTACAATCAGGATTTAAACACTTGTTGCTCGTAGATACACTGAGAGTTTAAGGACCGGAGAACACATTCCTTGTTCACACTTGGCCAATGAAAGAATTCTATTGTCCCCATTTCAGACAAATGGTTGTCCAATCTCTTCTGCAAAACTTCCAGTGTTGGAGCATTCACAGCTTCTGGAGGCAAGTCGTTCCACTGATTAATTGTTCTGACCGCCAGGAAATTTCTCCTTAGTTCTAGATTGCTTCTCTCCTTGATTAGTTTCCACCCATTGCTTCTTGTCCTGCCTTCTGGTGCCTTGGAGAATAGCTTGACTCCCTCTTTTTGTGGCAACCCCTGATATATCGGACCACTGCTATCATGTCTCCCCTAGTCCTTCTTTTGATTAAAAATCCATTTTAAAAAAATCATTAAAATTAGGGCTTATAGCCCTAGATTTGCAGCAGGAAGATGTGGAGCCAAATCCTGCTTAACCTTGAAGCTCAAACCTGTTGCTCCCTTTCACAACCTCCTCACAGAGTTGTGAGAAAGGAAAAGTGGCAGCAAAGGGGGGAAGGGGTGAAATCCAACTGTGCTCTTCCAAAT